ACAGAAAATGATAGCTAATGAGTACAGAGTCAGGAAATGCAAATAAATAAATAAAATTATTAAGCCTAAAATAATAAGTTGCATTTTATTTGTAAATTTTGTAAAAATAATATAACAATCTCATTACAAAACACTAAAAAATGCGAATTAACTGAAATATTTAAAACATTTTTTAGAGGGAAGTTTGGATAACTTAAATTTCAGTTCTGATTTAATATGACATAAATTGTTGGCATTATTTAATAGTATAAGATGTTTTAAAGTACGTAACTTACTCTTATATGATTTGCAAGATATTGCACTAAACAGTGACTGCTTCTGATCATTAAATGGTGGTCTCATAATGTTGCCTTGTTAGATTTAACAAGGTTGTTGATTGGTTAGTTAGCGGTTGGTTGATTATTGAGTTGGTGGATTTATTAGTCAGTTTGTTTGTTTGTTTCAGTTGCGAAAATGGTGAGCTTGTGCTTCGACGAAAGCATGGTGATACGAAAAGTACCGCAGATACAAGAAAATTAGCAAGTAAATAATCTATTTAGCGTTATTTGTGAAGTTAGGCCTATCGTTACTTCGTGAAACAGTGTAAGGGTAGAACTTGTAGTCATAGAAATAAAACATATTTGATGTCATTAAGTGGAGTAGACTTTGCATTATTTTTCTACGAAATCCGAAATAAACCATTATTACAATGCTGTAAAGAAGTGGAATTATTTTCGTACAAATAGAAAAGATTTCAGAATGAGCTTTAAAATCACGACACGCGCATGAACGGAAACACGACAATTTAACAAAGACGAAATTAAAAGAAGATCAGGATGAAAGAGAAAGGAAATTAAAAGAAGGTCATACAGAAAGTTGTAGAAAATAAAAAGAAGATAAATAATAAAAAGTTTTGTGCATTTATTTGTTGTTAAGCATGAAACCAAACAGTGGGTTATCTGTGCATGCCAACTAGGGCATGAAACCCGGTTTTTAGTGTTATAAACCATTAGACTTACTGTGTCCCCCAGTGGCACAGCGGTATGTCTGCAGGCTTACAACGCTAGAAACCGGATTTCGAAACCCGTGGTGGGCAGAGCACAGATAGCCCATTGTGTAGCTTTGTGCTTAACTTCAAACAAGAAAAGACTTACTGCAGAAGAATGGTCTATAAAAAGATGGAAAATGGGAAGAAAGTAACAAAGTTAAAAGAAGATGGATGTGGGAAGTAAGGGACGTAAGCATTACAAACAAAAATAAATTGGATTGAAGAAGCCATAGAAAATGTGTAGATTGGAGTTGAAAAAGGTACAGGAGATGTACGGAAGGCTTATAACAATATCAGTGGTGTACAAAAAACATCAATGCAAGGATCAAACCAGCCAAACACCTTTTTGTATTAACTCCAGAATTTCAACCACAAATTTTGAAACATGGAATAGGAGAACCATCTGGTTTAGATCTATTTCTCTTACTGTTTTGCCCACCTATGATCGTAGGACTATCCTGGACTACTCCAGCTATACCAGTGCTACACCAAGTTCAGCAGGCCAATTCAATAACAATACCAAATACAGAAATCAACAAAAACAGACTTTGATGGAAAGGTAGAAGGAGAAGCACATCAACAGAATTCGAAATAATTCCCAAAATGAACAGTTGAAATAGGAAACAATAAGCTATTCGTCTTGATGCTTATTTAAAAGGAACAACATTAAGAAATATCACAGCAGAGACTTTCAGGACTGGTGACTGACTACCTTATAAAATATTGTTACGTATCTGCTCGTTTGATAATTTCCGGTATACATTTTCCCCGAAGAACTTCAGCGATACAAGCCCTTTCTTAAATAAAACGAGTTTATTCTTTCTCAATACAACTTTGCAATACACAGAATTTCCACAGTCACTTTAACTTAAACACACGCTATAATTCACAACGATTCACGCACCTTACTTACGGTATTACCGCTCACTTAACTCAATTATCTGTCTCTGTCTCCATCTATCTGCAATTATATCTCCGCTTTATTTGCCAGGCTTATATACAAAAATAGAGGGCGTCTGACAAACACTAGAGTTGCCAGGAACAGTCATGATCCGTCTAGAAACTCATGACTTGTTACCAGCGTCACGTGACTTTCGCTGTCGTAACAATATATTTGAAGCGTTACATCAGAATGAAGATTTAAAGTAAAGCTTAGAAGCAGAGTATGGAGGAAAGACAAGACCTTGCCCAGATGCTCGATATGAAAGAAATTTTGGGATCATCAAATCATATAGTATGGAAACCTCAACTCAAGAATAACTCAAAGGATTTATCAGACAACTTGTTACTCAGAATTGAAGAAGTGGACTACAGGATAGGATGTATTTTAACTGTAACTTAAAAGGACACATTACCTCTGGGACATACTCGACCGGCAAGTCAAGAAACAACAACAAAAAAAAACAACTTGGAAGAGCAATCTACTCCAAGTTTTGAAGATAGAGTGGGCGAAAAT